TTTAACAAATTAGAAAAGCATATAGGATTGGCATAATTGTATGTGTTAGTCTTTCATCAACTAGTATCCATTTAACTTCTGATAACAACTCATTATAAATTAATAACAGTTCATTCGGGATTTAACAAGCTAGAAAAACAATAGTTCATTAGACTTGTATTTTTAATCATCAACTACAAGTATCTATTTGAGTTTTAATAACAATTCATTCTAAATTGATAACAGTTCATTCGAGCTTTACAAGCTAGGAAAACAGATAAGATGTGTTTAATTGCATGTGTTACTCCTTCATTAATAAGTGTACATTTAGATTTTCACAATAATTCATTCTAAATTGACAATTTATTTTGGTTTTAACAAGTTAGAAAAATTGATGAGAAGGGCTTAGTTATATGCGTTAGTCATTCACTAACAAATATCCGTTTGAATTTTAACAACAACCTATTCGTAATTAATAACAATACATTTAAATTTTTAACAAGTAAAATGTGTGAAGTTTTAAAGTTCTCAATTTGTAATTATCCATGTTAGATTAACAAGTAACATTTGTAAAATAACAAGTTCTATTCAAAAATTAAAACTATTATATTATAACATGGAAGTGGTTAAAAGCTTGGTTTACTATTTATATTTTTTTGGTTGCTATATATAATTAAGGGGTTTGATGGCCTAGTGGCCACTAAGCTTTTTAGCTGGCCAAAGGTCATAGAATCAAACCCTCCCTTGGTCACTTGAACTAATTATTTTTTAAATAAAATGTTGTTAGTGCTAGAGCTTCGATGACTGATTGCCAACAACCCTGTTGGCAACAAGGGCTTTGGCAATCTCGCTACTAGCGGTGGTCCAACGGTCGACAACCGTGGGTTTTTTTTTTTGTTTTTTAACTCAGGGGCAATTCTATCATTTTGCTTACGAAATTAATATGAAAGAAGAACTAGAGGACTGTAGAGCAAATACCAGATCATTTGGTCCTTATGTGATATAAATTTAACACAGAGGTCCTTGGATGCTATTTTCCCATTTTCATTTTGTTGTATTCAAGAGAATTACACTTAGGTCCTATAGAAGAGAATTAATTATTACAAGTCAATTAACAACTGAACTAAGATCATGTCATCAATGGCCTCAATTCAATTATTAATGAACCTTATAATAATTAATTTTTTTTTATGGAATTTTAGCATAACTCTCCCTTGTGTATCAATCCCAAAATCGTAATAATATAATCCACGATATATTATTTGAAATGTTAATAATAATATTATTTTTCTAGGCCATTATAAATTTATAAAAGTTAGTTGCAAATATTAAATCAATCAACAAAAGATACTTTATAGTAAGTAAGAACTATGCTTTGTTATTGAAGTCTCAACAATTTAGAATCTATAATTATAATTAATGTTCTTATGAGATCTTTAATTGTCATTTTTCTTTTTTTTTTCTCTAAAAAGAAAAAATGCATTAATAAGAAAAACAAGTTTACATACAAATGTGTTTTATAGAAAAAGACGTAAGAAGGCTCAATGGATCATATTCGAAAAAAATTAAACATGATTACTTTATCAAAACAAAATGATTCATGTCAACAACCACCAGCTTCTGAGAGTGAAGGGAGCTTTTTCTTGAGACATGTGATTCCAAGTGGGTCCATTTTCCCTCCATATCCTAGATCTTTGACACAAAATTTAGTCTCCGCTACATGCTAAGGACTCGTGCTTGAAACCTCTTATTAAAAGAGACTAAGTCTCTAACATTGTGTTTAAATTTTAGTTAGATATAAAAATAATTAATTATAATATAATTAATTATAATTAATTTAGATATAATTAATTATAAAAATAATTAATTATAATTATTTTTATAATTAATTTTAATTATAATTAATTATATTATAATGCAATACGTTTGGACCCTGTTTTTTTAAAATTAATTTTAATAAAATTAAAGATGTATGAATGATTTAATTATAATTAATTTTAGCTGTAAATAAAAAACATTACTTTTTAAAATTAAATTATTAATAAATTTGTATCTAATATTATTAAGTCTGTTAAATTTTATTTAAGAAGTAAAATATATTATTTAAATTATATATCTGATTAATTATAAAAATTTAAATTATATTAATATTAGTATTTTTAATTTATGTATAAATAACTCTATATTTTAGTTTAAATAAATTTAGTAAGTGTGTGTTTGGATAGGGGAAAAAATCGATTCCCCCCCCAAAATCAATCTTTCCAACAAATTATCCAAACAGTCAGAAAAGGACGAAAATCAATTCTAAGCCCATACGCGCGTTTTTCCATAAGTTACTTCCATTTGCTTTCAGCCAAAAGTTTGTCAAAAATGTTGAAAAAAATTACAAAGACAGGCTCAAAAAAATTACAAAGAAAATACATAATTTAATAAAAATAAAATTAAACTCTCTTCTTTTTTTCTTTTTTTTTCTTAATAAAATTTAAACTTTGTATCTTCAAAAAAATTAATATTGGTATTTAAAAATTATATTATATAGTAATTTATATAGCTAAAAATTAATTTTGATTAAATTATCCAAACATCTTCAATTTTGTTAAAATTAATTTTAGAAAAATAGTATCCAAACATATTGCATTATAACATAATCAATTATGATTAAAATCTATCACTTAGTCAATTATTTTCATAATCTATTATACCCAACTAAAATTTAAACTGGCACTAAAAGAAAAAGATTTAATTCATCAATTTTACAATAACTAATGAAGATGATAATATATAAGTTAATCTCTAGTGATATCACGAATATGAGCTATATCTGATGAAGATGTTATGGATGACGGTAAGGATGAATATTCATCAATGTAATGATCTTCCTAATTCTCATGCTCTATTTGATCTTCCCTTTCATGATGCATAAAATCAGAATCATAATGGATAAGCAGCATCTCTCTAGCTTATTTCAATACGCCATTTTGCTTCAATAATCAATTATTCCAATTTTTGACTGTTTGGTTAAATTTTATTAAAATCAATTATTTGGCCCAAATAATCGATTAATTATTCAATCCGTACAAGCTGTAACTAGTTGATCCGAGCACTTAATGAGAGGAGCTCGTGGAGTAGAAGTGCAAAAATTGATGATAAAAGCTAAGGCGGATCTTAGACAGCATTATAAAACCACCACCAAGTTTGATTTGTCCCCCACAATTTCATGCAAGTTTTCATTGTCTTTTCTGATTATTACAGGTGTTAACAAGTAGCGAAGATATGTTGAATTTCAACGAAGGAGGAAAAAACAAAACTTTCAATTTTGCCATTGTCAATTAAAATTCCTAAAATGTCCTCAGATTGGTCATTAATCAAAAAGATTATATTTTTTTTTGGGCCAACCATTAATCAGAAAGATTGGACCCCTGATTACGTTATGTGTATTATAATGATATATATATGGGGTGTTACATGTTTCATGCTCATGACTCATTTTCATTCATACCAATTAAATGTCCTTTTAGATAAGATAAGCATAATGAGAATTAGAGTACCTTGAGTGTGGGAATATAAGATTTGATAATTTTCACTCTAGGCAATAGATAAAAAGGAAAGATTAATCCACAGGTTCTTATAGTTTTTTCAAATTAAAATTAGATCTATGTAACTTATTTTATTTTAGTCAAGTTCTTGTAGTTTGATTAATTTAATATATTAATTTCTGAAAGTTAAAATTATATTATTAATGAATGATTGACTTTTTCCAAAAAAATTTAAAATTTTATAAAAAAATTGATTTAATATTTTTTCAAATTGTAAAAAATTATTTAATAAAATATTTACATTTTTATTAAATTTTTTGAAAATTATCTATGTATGAAGTTATATAGAAAACATAATCTAATAATATAATTTTTTAGTTGTAAAAAATATATAATCAGGTCTAAAGTCATATAATCTTCTAATAAAAATATAAAATTTCTTACTTTCATTATTTAAAAAATTCAAGGATTTTAATATTTAGGATATAATAAATTTAAAAGATCAAACCATAAGTATTCAATTAAAGCAAAATAAACTAAAATTGAGAAAATAATTTTAAATTGAAGAAAATTTTAAGGATATGTAAATTAATTTTTCTTAAATAAAATAATGATAATGCGAATTCAATATATGCTGTTTCCAACTACTTAGTATATTTTTTTAAACATTACTTAGTTAGTATCCCCCAAATGTTTGAAAAACTTTATCAAGATAAAATAAGATTTTCTAATGAAGAACCTTATCAAAAATTAAGGAGTAAAAACTAAAATAAAAATAAGATGCACTATCCTAGCTGGCATCCTCTTTTGGTGGAATCTTATCTGGGATTCTCATTTTTCATAAGTTTCGATAAAACAAATAGCTGATTAAAATGTCAAAGTTTCATTAAAGGAATTCTATCTTACTGATTGGGCTTGAGACAGTAATTCATCTTTCAAAGTTAATGGACCTTGATCGTGATGAATTTTGAAACTCTCGGATAGATATTTTGTTTCTTGTTATCTAGTTTGTATTTTCATAAATAGAATATGGTAGAACGGATAATTCAAACAAACTTGAATAAGTTAGTAAAATCTCGGGACCAAGCATGAGAAATTAGAAAAATTTCTTTACTTAAAACTTATTTGGGCGCTGTCCGAGTAAGCTCAAAATAATAATCAGGACTAAGCCTGAACCAAAATGGGTTAGCTCAATACCCAAAATCTTTTTTTTTTTTAATTATTAGTTTAAGTATTAGAGTCAAGCTTAATTATATAGAATTTTTTAAATGTCTAGATAAGTCCTTCCTTTTAAATTACCCACTCTAGAATAGTATGCAAAGCAAATCAACCCTTGTATTGTAGTATTATTATTATCATCGAGGACACCTCGGTCTTGACAAGGCCGTCAGCGTTCACACACACACATGCATAACACCAGCCTCGTAATGTATTGCCTCTCTTCCTCAGCGATACACGATACATCACTCTAAAGGAGAATCAATATCAAACTGATACGCCTTGAATCATCTTCACAACATGGCTCATTGTAGGTCTTGCATCTGCGTCTTCCACAACACAATCTAATGCCATTGTCACTAGAATCTCCATTGACTTCATCTCATAACTTCCTTCAACTGTCGGATCAATGATTTGTTCCACCCATGATGATGATGATGTCTTGTTTTCTTGTCTTTCGTTCTTCTTCTTCTCTCTCACCCATGTCACTAGCCTCCCATCAAGTGAGTGATCCGGTCCATCAACCATCAAGCTTTTTCCTGTTATCATCTCCAACAACACGATTCCATAGCTATAAACATCAACCTTGGAAGTTATTGGCAAGTTGAAAACCCACTCTGGTGCCATATATTCTCTTTTTCCTCTGATCCTTGAGAAGCTTAGATTGTTGATGTCATTTCTGTTTTGAAGCTTTGAAAGTCCAAGATCTGCAACCTTGGGCCTATAATCTGAATCGAGAAGTATGTTTTGAGGTTTTATATCGCAATGCAGAACCCACTCCGAGCACTCTTCATGAAGATATGCCAGTCCTCTTGCTGTTCCGAGAGCGATTTCATACCTCTTTCTCCAATCAAGTAACTTGTTGGATTTGAGGTTTTCCGCTAAAGAACCATTTTCCATGTACTCATACACCAACAACAGTATGTGCTTTCCTTCTGCACAACATCCCCACATGTCAATCAAGTTCATGTGATTAAGCCTTCCTATTTAGTTGACTTCTGCAAGAAACTCACTTTCTATTTGGTTTGCTTCTCTGAGTCTCTTGATTGCAGCAACTCGTCCATCTTTTAACACACCCTTGTATACAATTCCTCCGGCACCCCTTCCAATTTCTTCACTGAAACCCCTTGTTGCTTTTTTCAACTCTGAGTATCTATATTTTCTTAACTTGGATCCCGCGAGATGATCATAGTTGCGCCGTTTACTAGACTTTTTCCATGTCAGACAACAAAAGAGAAAGACGCATGCAAGTTCAAAGCCTCCAATTGCTAACGCTAACCATAGTAACACTTTGATTAAAACACCGTCTTGTCTTGAGATATAGACTCTCTCAAGCTTTACAGACTTAACAAGGTCACACTTGGCATTGGGTTCTTAAAGAGTGAATGAGCTTGAATTGGGGAGTCTCAAGTGGAAACCTCCCTTGAAAGCAGGGGAAAGATTGCCATTGACCAAAAGGAACTTTGGGTAACAATCACGATCATGTGTATATTGGAAACCTTTGCAGCCACAAGACTTCAAACATTGATTCTTACATTCCTTAAACGTGATGTTACGGTAATCCCCTTGGTCGTGCCCATAGAAATCGCCATTAGGCATATACACAAAGCGAGGATCTTCTGGGTTGCAAGACAAATTGAACTCTGGTTCGCACCCAAGTGACTCGTCGCTTTCATTCTTGAACTTGTAACCAGGAAGACATAAGCATGTTCGACCAAAATATGGTTCATAGTTGCAGACACTATTTTCTCCACAAATGCCATGAACCTTGCAACCTGCAGAAAAAGCTTGCCATGAAACATACCATTGCTCTGTCCAGTTTCTTCGACTGTAGATCCTGATATTACCATCACTATCAATGGTTAATCGTCTCTGAAGTACAGGACCATAGTCTGATGTCCTGCAAGTAAAGTTATCAGTTGAAATGAAAGCACCATGCGTATCGAGAAACGCAATGCGACTTTCGTTGTAAGGAGATCCACCAGCTTGCCATGGGTTTTTCCAAGGAGATGGCCAATAAATAGTCGATAGATTGGGACCATCGTAGACAAGACGAAGAATATTATAATCGTCAAAATGTAAGTTATAGAAACCAGAAGAGGAGTTAGTCTGACTTTTGGAGGAGGCAAGGCTAGAGCGTCTGGTAAGCCTCTGCTCGGGAACGAGCGTGTCCGTCGGAAAATCAAAACTTTGCCACAGAACATGATTAGGGTGTTCAAGAAGAACAAGATTGCCATTATCTTTAAGAATCAACTGTGGAGACCTCGACGACGTCGTGTTCGTGGCCCAAACATCGACATGATCTGCATCATTCAGCACTAGATTTCCACTGCTACGCAGGGTAAGTGCATCATTCAGCACTAGATTTCCACTGCTACGCAGGGTAAGTATTGAGCCTTTTCCGTTCATCAACACGTCACGATTCGCCATCCAAATGACAGTCAGATTTTGGCGACGAGCTGGTTCTTCAGTGAACCAGATAGCGAAGGCATAGGCATTCTCACCGACGCCATAGAACCCAGCAGTGAAATTTCCATTTCTTGATTTGATAACGTGTTCTGGATTCTCCACCGACAGCAAATTTATGGAGGAAGAAGAAGAACACAGTAAAGGAAAAGCTGAGATGAAGAGTATTATCAGATTGGAAAACATCAAGGCAGATAGATGGCCTAGCTATACTGAGAACTGGTGAGTGCAGAATCTTCAAGTCTATTTAATAAACCAGAATTTTCATTGCAGACGCGGAGGCGGATTAATTCGGGGGTCTCGTTTGAGAGTTGAGAGCAACCATGAATTTGCTAATTGTCAGACTTTTTCTACTTTGAGTCTTTTTAACAGTAATGCAACCCACTTTCACCAGGTTCAGCCGTTCAGTGTTGATCTTCGGTGTGATGAGCATCTGGGAGCGGCGAGCACTGTGAATGGTTCGAATTTAAAAAGTTATTATATATTTTTTATTTTATATTTATTAAAATAAAAATTTATAAAAATTATAAAATAATTTTAATAAATTTTTTAATTTTTAATCTGATTTAAGTTTAATTTGAAGAGTTTAATTTTATGTTAAAATTTTTATAATTACTATATATTAATTATTTAAATGTATTTCATGTACTCTATATTTAATCTAATATTAATCTAAACTGTATAAAATACATTTAAATAATATATAATAATTATAAAAAATTTAATATTAAATTATATCATTTAAATTAAATTTAAATGATATTGAAAATAAAAAAATTATTAAAATTATTTTATAATATCTATAAATTTTTATTTTAATAGATGGTAAAAAAAAATAAATTTTTATTTTAATGAATATAACATAAAATAATGCTTTAAATTTAAATAGTCACTTATGACATGAGCACACCGAAGTCAAGTGCCTTTCACCACCTGCAATGATTTCTGCGTGTTTATCACATTCAGACGCGTGAAGAATCCGGAACAAAGTACCCATTACCCAATAAGAATACCATAAATAAATCCATATACTAATGGCCCCTCCTTCTCTGTACAAAATAAAATTTGCAAAACATTTGTCCTGTTCACATTCCTTGCTATTAACTTATTTAGGGGCTGTTTTGATAGTCTCTTTAATCAATTTTAGTGGTAAAAATTAGAATTTTATAAAAATATATTCAAAAGCATCTATTGTATGTTTAAATCAATTATATACTTAAAATAATATTTTTTTAAAAATATCCAAATCAATTAAATACCTAAAATTATGGTTTTGTGAAAATATATCCAAATATTTATTATATATGTCAAAATCAATTTAAAATTTAAAATTATGTTTTTCTTTAAAATATTCAGATACCTCCTTTCAATCTCTATTTATAAGTAGAGCTATTTGTTTTGCCTTTATATTGACATGTTCCTTATAAGCTCGATTCTCAAATACTTAAGCCCATAAACCCTCATGCATTAAAATAAATAGTGAATTTTCTCAAGCTCAGCCATTATTGATATGGCTCAAAGTTGGACTCAAAAGCACATATAACACTTTTATCTCCAACTCATTTACACGTGGTATGGTATGTAAAAAGACTACAAAGCCTTTACTTAACAAATATTTGGCTTCCATTTCAAATAAAAGATTTTTGAACCATTTTTTAAGGTTGATGAGTAAAATCACACTATGCATAAGTTAAGGATGTTAACAACTTAGTATTTTTGCATCTTAACTCTATATATTATGATGATGATATTAATAATAAATTATTTTAAGTAAAACTTGTCAATTATTTCAAATAACTTTAATATTTAAAAGACCAAAGTTAAATTTAATTTTTTTTCAAAAATTATTATTGATATTCTTTATAAAATTAAATATGTTTCTCATACTACGCACATATAAATCTAAATATCATAGTCGTGTTATTCATCATTAATTTTAAAAGCGTATCTTGGAATTAAATTTAGAAAAAATATAATTTTGGGTTCCCATACTTTGCTCTTGTTTAGCTATTCGTTCCTGCATTTTTATTTAATGTTTTAGGTTCTTACACTCTTAGATGGACTTAAAACACTAACAAACAAAAGTGTAGGGACCTATAATATAAAAAAAAAATACAAGGACTAATAGTAAAATACGAGCAAAGTACAAGGATCAAAAATTATATTTTTCTTTAAATTTAGAAAAAACATAACTTTTAATTTTTACACTTTACTCGTATTTTGCTATGAATCCTAGCACTTTTTTTAATGTTCTAGATCCATATATTTTTATTTTTTGATATTCTAGGGTCCTAAATGAACGAAGTGTAACGACCTTAAAAGGTCTTAAAACACAAAAAAATAAAAATGTAGAGGTCCAAAATATTGAAAAAAAGTGCAGAAATTTATAGCAAAATACAAACAAAATGCAAGGGCTAAAAATTATGTTTTTTCTTAAATTTATTATCATTTATTATTTCAATTAAAAATATAAGGTATTTTTATTTTTTTCATATTTGTTCTCATTTAATAGAGTATTTTACTTAAAAATAACTATAAATTGATTTATTTGTATGGAGGGAAGGAGCTAGCCTAAAAATTACAAGGGTCCAAGTGTTTGAACCTAAGTATATATTGTCAATTTGTCTTTTTTTTAATAGTAGTAAATCGAAAATTTATTCTGGATATTTTGTCAGTTACACGTAATCAATATCCTTAACTTTCGATAGCACAAATGTTATTAAAAGTTTAAATGGTGCACTGTTGTTTATAGTAATGTTTTGACAACCATTATCAATTAGTTGAATAATTTAGAGAGTGAAAAAACAATTTTTTCTGGAAAGTTTTTTTTTTTTAATGAGAAATTGGTATACTGAGTTTTTGATTTGCCTCTCTCATAAAGGACGAGTCACAAGGGATGCCTTAATAAAATTCCTATTAAATGGAAAGTAGTAGAGCCCTTTTCTCATAGCTTAAATACGTAATTGGTATTATATGTGATAGAGTGACCTTGCCACAATACACAAAAATTCAATCCAAGTTGCTTTGATTTATCCCTTTCACCTTGAGTTAGTCTATGATGTTTATGGATAACTTCGATCAAGTCTTTGTTTGCTATTGATTTATATTTGCATTGATAATGAGTTGTTATGTCTTTTTTATTTGAAAACATTGATAAAATAAAAATATTGTATCAATTGAAAGTTTAGGATTCCTTCAAAAATACTTTAGAGATAAAATTGTCCTTTAATATTGGTTAGAATTGTTCAACTAACAATCAATATTAATGAATAACATTAATACAAAGTACCATTTTTAAAATATCAAGATAACATTGTACCAATTAAAAATTAAGAAACCTAATTGTCACTTCCTAAAAAATTTTAGGATAAATTTTTCCTTCAACTCTTCTTTGTATTGTTCATAATTAATATATTAAAATAATTACCAATAAAGATTGGTGAGTAATTTGTAAATATTTTTATAAACATTCATTGAGTTTGAAATTATGTTCATGAATATTAAGACCCAACTCATCTAAATTTTTTACCAAAAAATATGAAATAATTTTATAACTTAAAAATTTATTGAATAATAAATTAGGTATATAGGTGGCTATGTTGAGATGTGGAATTGTGTGCGTGCGTGCGTGCGTGCGTGTGTTTTTTTTTTTTTTTTAAACCAACGAATTGTGTGCTGAATTAACGGTACATGTGGAGAAGAGGAACATTTCATTGACTTCATATTTTGCTTGCACAAAATCTAACAGCATAATTCAAGTGGGTTATTAACCCATTTCTAAGTGACCCCACACTTTTATGCAAGTCGTCGAGTACCTTCAATGAACTTAGACGGGTAACTTTACTAATGTTTGTTTTTAACCATATTATCTATTTAAAGATAAATATTAGAATAACTTAATTATCAATTTTGAAATATAATTTTGTAATTTAGAAGCTAGAAAAATGATACTGAGAAGTAATAAATTACAACATATTAGGCCTTTCCAATAATTTTGTCCTGGGGTCCAAAATTTTAATATGGCTTACATAATATATATTTAGATAGTGTTTGGATTGATATATTTGAATTTAAATTTAAAATTTAAAATCTTACATTTAAAATTCATATATTTAAAGTCATTTGTTTTGACATATTCTATCCATTCAAAAATTTAAGATATTTTTTTAAGGGTTGGATGTTAAAAAATGTAAAGCATTTTTAATATTTTGAGATGTAATTATTGCCTTTTTTCTAAAAGTGTGCCTATTGAATAAATTATTTTATATTTATTTTAGGGTATTTATAGGGATAAATATAAAAAGATAGGGTTAGTTTGAAATAAGTAATTCATTTATTGAGGGATGAAATTTGGTTAAAAATATTTTTATTTTTTGAATGAATAGAGTATAGTATAAAAATTTTTAAGGGTAAAAGAGGCAAGTTGAGATTTGAAATGGAAACAAATTGAAAGTGACAAAAGCTTACTTCTATTCTATAATTGGTGACGAGAATAACAGAAGCATAGTAAAAATGAAAAGAAAAGGAGAGGGTTGAAGCAAGTGAAATTTTAAATAATTAATAAAGTTAATAATTTAGATCAAACTTGACATACCAAATTGAACCCATTTAAAAAATTTAGAGCCAAACTCGATTGGATTCAAGCTTGGCCCGAATACTCGAATAAGATAAAAAAATTATAATATATAAAATATAATAAATAATTAATTAATTCTTTAAATTTTATGTTATTTTATACTTGAATATCACATACTTGAGTGCATTGCCATAAAATATCTTATTTTTAAAAAAATTAAAATTATATTTTCATATTTTTATTATTTTGAATCAATAAAATATCTCAAAATAACATTTAAAATATATTTTAATATTAATTTTTATATTTTAAGACCCATTTTTTTTAAAAAAATTTGAGTCCTATACATCATTTGTGTATCTAAAGAAATATATTATATATTTTTTTAAAATAAGATAATTGATTCTATAGTAAAGATAAAATTAAAAATAAAATTCAGGCATATACGAATTCTTGATTCTACTACTAAATAAACATAATAAATAAAATAATATTC